GTTGCTTTGGAGACAGTCTTTCTTTACCTAAAGTTTTTACTTTTCTTACCGACTTACGCTTAATACACTGAAAAGATTGCTTTTTATTCTTCCAGTTAGCTGCAGTATAAGTAGTTATTAAAATGTTTTACAATACAGAATTGCATGTGGGCTACATCAATGGCACTGAAAAGATCTGCAGGCTGACTGACAGATAATGAACTATCAGTTTTCAAAGTAGCTGTTGGCAGTCCTAGAAAGGATCAAGCTTACCTCGCTGTAAGGAAGCACACATTTAGCAAAATGCTGTAAAACAGAATAGCCATTTCCTTCAGGCACTCAAAGAAACTGACTCCAGAAGGTGTATTTAGATTCTACACAGGTTAAATAATTACCACAGTACCTCAAAAAACCACAGTAAGACTATCTTCTGGTTTAAAAATGTTTATTTAAAAGAAAAGGACATCTATACCCAGATGGCCAGGAGAAAGAAAAAAAAAATTTCCTCAAGTTTTCCCCCCAAAACCATTACTCTGCAATTTACCTTTCCCTTAAGTTTCAGCTTCAACATTTTATGTAAAAAAAACCCCGGAACTTTCATTTCCCTTCCTATGCTGTTAGACCTGAGGAAATTAAGTACCTTTCACTGAAGGGTTGCATGGGATGTGAGAAGAAACCGCAATAAAATTTATTCACAATATACAAGTATAAAAATATCTTGCTTAGGATTCAGTATTATAATTTAATAACTTTTTGTTGTTTCATAGGTATCTGGGAAAGGTACAGACACGTGTCCTGATCCTGTTACAAGAGGTAGAATGCCAGCATTTGGTACAACATTCCAGGAGAGAGTCAAAGTGACATTCCTGTTTCCCCTGCAAAAGCAACAAAGGCTATCAGCACAAATACTCAAGTTAACCAATTTAATTAATAATTGATAATATTAATTAAATTAGGATACAAGTTATTTTCCTGATCCAGAAACAATGGGCTTTTTAATTTATGTACTTCATGAAGTATTACATATTTTGTTGTATTATATTATATATAATGTATATATTTACATTTAAATGGCTTTAAACTAAAGGGGGGTAGATTTAGACTAGTATAAGGAAGAAATTCTTTACGCTGAGGGTGGTGAAACACTGGCACAGGTTGCCCAGAGAGGTGGTGGATGCCCCATCCCTGGAAACATTGCAGGTCAGGTTGGACGGGGCTCTGAGCAACCTGATCTAGTTGAAGATGTCCCTGCCCATAGCAGGGGGGTTGGACTAGATGACCTTTAGAGGTCCCTTCTGACACAAACTATTCTATGATTCTGTGATTTTCCAGGTAAGGCTTTTTTTTTTTTTTTTTTTACTTTTACCTAACTCCTTTGGAGTTCAGTGCATCACAGAACCAATTCTACACAGACAAGAATATTGGAAGCAGAAACCCAGAAGCCTATTGCTCATATTAGCAGTGCATCTTCTAGTCTACAGAAGAAACAGGATATCTTGTATCCCAAGGTCATCTTCTAACAGTCAAACTACAAAGACGCAATAGACTGAGAGAGTATCAGATAGAATATAGGTACCTTACCACAGCAATAGAAACACATATAAAATGCAAAGCATGCAAGTAAATCAAGACACCACCACCACCACCACTAATACTAACACTAATAATAGGATTACTTACTTGAGACCATTTCCATCATCAAAGAAAAAGTACTTTGACTTCATGTCTTTTAAGAACAGCCTTGGGTTATCTCCTCTCAACATGATCTTGTCCCAAAGGACCACCTGGTTTAGAGCCTAAAAATACAATTGTAATTAAGTCAGCAAGGTACCTTACAAGATCATACTCTCTCACTGGAATTTCATAGCATTATTCACCTAAAACCCCTAAAGTTGAAGTACATGCTTGCAATCCGTAACTAATTTAACAAAATAATGCTTTACAGGGGGGAAACTACTACTACACGCTGAAGCGCAGCACAGAATAAATGGAAACAACAAAGAACAGCTCAATACAACATGAGAAAGCCATTTAAAAAAGTCATAAGCTTTCAAAGACTGTTACAAAGTATAATGGGTTTTCCTTTTGAATTACAAAGGCAAGTCATTTTTAAAGCAGATTTAGACTTTGTTTCAAATAAAGGACTTAAATTGAGCTATCATGACACTGCCTAGGTATTTAACATTTTTCCAACTTTAATGGAAAAAATCTCTACTTGAATTGCAAGTGTAACCCCAAGAATTGTATGAACAATTCAAAAGACAGGTCCCAAATTCTTAAATACTTGAAACTAAACTGTTAAGTAGTTAGGTGCTAAACAGTCTTGTTTAGTACCTTATAGAACAACTTAGAAAAAATATTTCTCAGCATTTGTAAGAACAAGTGATGTATGTGAAAAAAAAATCTAAAAGATGAAACAAGACAATAAAGTCCCAGACCCTAATAAAGAACACTAAAAAGTATTTTAGTACAAACACAATATCCACCAGCATGTATAAAATAACTAAGGTACTTAAAAAAAAAGAAAGAAAAGTAGGGAGATAGTTTTGTGCACCAGGTTAAGAAAAAACCCCAAGACTTCACTACATCCTTGCAATGTGACCACTGTAGCTTAAACTGGAATTCAGTGGTACCATGGCAGCGTGGCGTTTCATTAAAATAAATTTTCCATGGGCTGTTCCACACAGCTCCTATCAGATCACTGAAAAAAGCCTTCAGCTATCCAAAGTGAGAAATCAGTAGCAACCAATTTAAAGGATGCAGCAAGGCCAATAATTCGAGAAGTATGACAAGGTAACATAAATGTATTACGGGGCTACAGTAACTGGTATGGGCAAACACTTCTGTGATCTACGAACAAAAGACCCACCACACCTGGCCAGACCAAAGGCCACTATATCTTGTTTCTAACAGCAGTCAACTGCAGAACGTTAGGGAAAAATAAAACAGACAGAGCAAATAAGCGAAAAAAATCATTTACAGTCCACTGTTGTAAGGGAACAACAAGGCATGTGTTACTTTTCTCCCACTCTGCTAGGCACATATCAAGTTAGGTTTCGTGAGGGTGAACTTCCCACCCTGCAGTTAAACTGTCAAGAAAATAACAATCATGAAGGCCAGTAAAAACAGTCCAAGCTAGTAGGAAATGCTGGTGCCTTAACTCTTCCCAGCAGAACTTCAGAATGTTAAAAATAGCCGCAGTACAAAACGAGTAATTGCTTCAACCTTCTTTTTGATACTTACATTGTTTTTCGTTGAATATTCTGCAGACAAATATAGAAACAATTGTTTAACATTCCAGTCAAATATACTCTGCAGATGTATGCGAGTTAAGAAAAATACCATATTGTACTTACATAACCTTGTTTTATTTTTACAAGATCTAAATAGACTACAATAATTACAGTGAGTTCTTACCTTTCAACATACCTCATCTTATTTATAAATCAGAGCACTTCCAGGAGTTCTAACATGTATTTTAATCATATTAAACCAACACGTTTTTGGTTTGGTTTGTTTGGTTTTTTTACTATTTATGAAATCTAACAGCTATTTCCTCCAATGATTTAAGAGTTCTATATTTGACACTGCAAGCTAGTAACCATAATCCGCTGCTAGACAATATATTATAAAACCTTAAACATAAAAGGCAAGACAGAATTCTTCAGTAAATATCTTCAGAACGATTATTTATACTATCGAAGAACCCTGGTATCCAACTGTGGATCGAGATACAATAGCATTAAGCAATATATAAATACAAAATTGGCGGAGTGTAGAGTTCAAAGAGCCTCTATTACCCACATTAGAGAAGTTAGTAGATGGGAAGTATTTCATATTGGAAGGGACACACCAAGAATTAGCAAATTTAATTACCTAGTTACTACAAAGAAAGTCAGCTTATTAGACTGGAGCAAAACTCTGCTCAGATTTTTGATCAACAGTAAAGAACTGATGACTGCCATTTGAGACTGTCAGTATAATAAAGCTGATACTCCAAATACTTGTCTGTTTATTTAGCAATACAATGCACCATGTGTGACTGCTAAGGAAAAGACCTTTTAACTCACAATAAAGATTAGCTGTAACATTTTATTTCCCAGTCCTCTTTTTCATTCTATTTGCTGCTATCTCAAAGAATAAATTAAACAGATTCCCCAAACAGCCTCAAAATCTGTTCTATCTTGTTCCGCTCATCCCAAGACTGAATCATGTTTTTAAGCCGCTAATTCAAACGGCAAGTAAGGAAAGAATTACATGATTAACTGCTGTTGCTGCAAGAATAGCTGGAGCTATTGTACTTTAACATTTTTCGCCATCTAACTCAAAACAACAAACAAGATTCTGAAGATCTCCTTTGTAGGATTTCTTAACACTTGTTAAAGTTAGCCATGAATTAAGTAAGCTAAAAAGAGTTTGTGAAAACTGCCTCCTCCCCCTTCCCTTCCCTAGTATCTTTTTCTAACTGTCATTTTATTTAGTTCTTCCTAGGACTAACACCTTGTTTCTGTTAGCTAAGAGAGACCATGTACTAGTATCTCTTTACAAATTTTGTCCAAAACAACCTACCAGAAAGTTGTATTTTACAACTCTACATGCTGCAAGGTTTATTTATGCCAGGCATGAAAGATTAAGTCAGAGTTTTAAAAAAAAAATTTTAAAACTACTGCTACTATTAAAAGTCATTAAAACATGGAACCTATATGCCCACATACTGCAGACTAATCCTTGTATAAGAACATTTCTTTTAAAGGTCTTGTCCTGCCTTGCTCTGCCTCCCCCTATATACACTGCATACAGTGCTCATACACCTTAGAATTTTAGTCTCTGGTTTTAATATGTATAAGCATTTCAGAGGTAAAACTCAAGACTTAAGAGTTCACCTCTCCTGATTCCAGCTGATAAAAAAAAATCCCTCTTATTCATGTGCAACACACATCTGCAAAAATCTGATTAACCTGTTTATCCAGCGTTCACATACATTCAAGATTTGTATTTTGTTTGATTTGCTTACACAATGTAGTATTCTCCAAAACAGGGACAGCGAAACACAGAGGTAATCAATGTCTTGCCTAACACAGTGACAAAAAACAGCAGACAGGGAAAAATCCCAGGAATCTCAGCCCAGCTGCAAAGCAAGCCTTAGTGTAATCACCTGAGGTAAAGCATGTTGTCTCAGATTTGGTACTGACTTCTGTAGAAAAACACAGAATTTTTTTTATATCAAGACCCAAAATCCTAAGAATGATTCCCTTCTACTGTCACAAAACCTACCCAAAACAAAACCAAACAAAAACACCCAAACACAACCCTCTTTCCCCAATAAAAAACAGACTAACAGGGAAGCAGAGAAATACAAACGAAAAGTTGCAAAAAGGTAACAGCAATGAGAAAGAGGTCAAAAAGTAACATGATTAGTTTTGTAGTACCTCATATGCTTCCCAATGAATTTCATACTATTCAATGTTAAAGATTTGATAGTTTAACATCTAAGCAAGCAAAGGATTACAATGTCTTTTTATTCTTAAAGGAAGACAGGTACTTGTATGCAACTATTACGCGGCCAGAACTTTGAAACCCTCACAACAAAATGAGTTCAAAAGGTGCATTGGAGTTTCTAGATTCAGTATGACAGTCAAAATAGTACGTTATATAAACTCTATAATTAATTCACACCTCAAACCACCAATACAAAGTTCACTTAACAGTAATACTGTCCAGATGTTCAACTGCATTTCCCATTATTAGATACAGTGCACTTCACTATAGAGCCTGATTTTAAAAACAGGCATTAAAAAAAGAGAGAAAACAACTTGCCCTGTGTCATCTGCTAGAGACAGAACAGCTATTCCATGTTCTATTTTACTGCCCTAGTTATGTAAAATACTACTTTTCACTGCTTTGAATTTATATTTTAAGACAAATTGCTAGTTTTCCTCAAGTCCTGAACATCTGAAGATTATAAGGTAACAAAAATAGATGTCAAGATGTTCTTATTTCAAAATGTTTGCAAACCATTTTTTCCATTAAGGATATCTGCAGTAATGTCAAATGTGATGAATCCCAGATCACTTCTTTCTCTAGGTCCAGTGAAATCTTCTACATTTTTTCTAAGACAAAACAAAACACAAGATTATCCTTTCTCATTATTTCTCTTTCATGCATTACATAAATTATTATTCTTATTACATATTTCCCACATCCATTTTCTGTACTTTCTTTTAAATACTTTTGGCTAAAATATAATCAACATTACAAAATAAAACCTGCTTTCCAGAAATTATGGAGCCCCAGTTTTGAATGACAGGCCTTGCCACCACAGTAGTCCAAGTTATACAAATAGCCTACAGACTTTATCCTGTTAACAAAAATCTGTATCTACCTGTACCTAAACTGCACTACATTTCATTTTAGTAAAATGTGTGTTAGCCATCCCCAAATATATAAAGCTGACTGGAACACTGGCAACATAGCTGTCTGCTAGCAACCATTTTCAATATTGTTTCTCAATTTTCCATAAAAAAAAAGCCTCTAGTGCTCAGTCTCATACAAGACACTCCAACCACTCTGATAAAACAGAGTTTATGTTTGTAGTTCACGCAACTTACAAGATTTCTCCCTGGAATGTATTTAAGTAGCAGCAGAAAGAAAATGCTTATTTTCTTCTACATTATGGAAAATCATATTGTTTTGGAAGACTTTACTACAAATCCACATTTGGAGGAATATCTGACATTGCCACACTAAACCACATTAAAAAAGAAACTGGAAAATAACAAGAGACACAGCAGATGTTTTCATACGTATTCACAAAGCTTATCAGTTTACCAAACTTACCCTTACAAAGAGGAATACCAGAAGCAGGCTGGCAATCAGCTATGAACCTTAATTCCTCATGTAAAAAAAAATTTATGAATTATGAACTTCTTAGTTACATTTATTCCAGTTTGAAAATTAGTCCATTGAAATATTATTTCATTAAAACTAAGCTTAGTAACCTCAAAGAAAAAAAGCTTACCAGCAGAAAAACCACTTTTGGAGACAGTAGTTGAGAAAAACACCACCAAAACGCCCCAATTTTAGCCTCGCTATGAACTTCCATTCCTTTGCAAAAAGCAACAACTTCTTAGGTAGTAACCCTTACCAAGCACTTGACTTCATTTCTGAATCACTGTCTGCCTGGTGGAGTAACGGGCCTTAAGCCTGGGGTGTGCAGAACTTCTCAGAAGTTCAAGAAAAGCAACTAAGGTATAACGCCTCTCATTAATACCAGATCTGTGCATCACAGAAGGCACTGGCATGGCTCTATAAATTTCATCCAAATTAGGCATTAGTATGCTACCTCATAAATGTCAAGCTCACCGGAACACTCAAAAATATGTTTTTATGCTGTTTGCAATCCTCAATCTAGCATAAACATGGGGTTTACTTTCCTGAGATATTAAACCAATCCAAAAGGCGACGGCAGTTCCCACTCTTCATCTGTGTTCACCTCCCCTTTCAAACCCTGCTGCTAGCCATCCACTCCTGCCACGTACCTTGGGGTGCTCCAAAGCTCCATGAGCTGCTTTAGCTCACTACCTTGGCCAAAACCAAACTACACAAACTCATTAGTTGAGTTAAAACAGCTCAGTATCCTGTGAGCCCCATTTGCCTCTGCAGCTCTGGTAAAGGACCATGTGGCTAGAAGCAGCAGCAAAGACCTCCACTTTTTGGTGGCAGCAGCAGCTGTTCAACTGCTCGTGAAACTACAGCCCTCCACACCATACACACTTAACTTGATGGAAGTTTCCCGTAACAAAATTTCCTTTAAAAAATAAACAAAAAAAAAAAAATTGTAAAAGAGGTTCCCCTGGCACAAGTTTGCAGCGGCATATTGTGTCACGTGGGCAACATGCTTTTCATGTGGTATTATGTATTCTACACCTGGTGCATTTCACAGGAAGATCAGCCATCCCAGTCAGTCTACTGTCACAGAGCTCAACAAAAAGAAAATACGTCACCAGCGGAAAAATATAAGGGATCTACTAATTAAGAAAAAGGCGCTAGGGAGATAAACCGTACGTTCATTTAGGTCCTTGCACCCTCAAAACTGTCAAAAGCGGTTCGCTGGACTCTCCTGTAAGTCACCACCCCCTTACCGAGAACGCGAGCGGTGCCTGCGAGCAAGCATGCCTTCACGCAGCGGCCCTCGGGGCTGTCTTCAGCAGGTCACCGGTCGAACGCGCTGACCGGCCGCGAAACGCCCAGCGCGGG